TGTCACAGGAAGGGCCTGTCCTGGTGGCTGCCCAGCCCCACCCTACAGCCCTGCTGGTGATGACATGGCATGCCAGCCCCCAACAAGGCACTTCAGCTTCAGTCCCTGATGTGGGGGCTGCAGTCCCTGGACAAAGCCTCTCATGTGCTCTCGCTGGGCTCCTTAGGGGAATGGCTAAGAGGTGGGAGCTGTGCTTTAGAGAAAACCTTAACTTTTCTTTGTTTCAGAAGCTCTTCAGTCTGAAGTATCCTGGAGCCTTCATAGAAGAGCACACTTGGGCTCCACTTCCCTGCCCCTGCCCCTTCAGGTAAGTGTTTCCCCATCAGCCACGGCTTCCCTGGCTTTTGTTTTTAGGGCATGGGGGGCAGGGGAGTCATAGCAAGGTGGTGGGCAGGGAAGGAGAGGAATACTATCCCAAGCTTTGCCAGTGCATCTACATATGCAGCTGAGACCCACAGGCGTAGGGCAGGCGTGGGTGCTCAGAGGGGCTCAGGAGGGTCCTTGCTGACTCCCAGCCAGGGCTCCAGGGCTCTGTCCTGCCTGTTTCGTGTTTCCTACACAGCCTCCATCTCCTCTTTCTCTCTCCTGCCCTCTTTAGTCTTTGCCTGTCATTCCTGGGACTTTTAGCTCTCAGGACATAGAATCCTAGGCCTCTCTCCACATCTGGGCTCTGGTCCTAGGTAGCAGCAAATAACCCTGAGCAGATGTGTGTCTTCTGTCAGCTCCCCTGAAGTGGCCCGGCACACTGGCTGCAGGATTAACCTTTCCGTCCAGCCTAACCAGTGCCTGGGCCCTCACCCCAGGCCAGGAGACCCTCAACCCACTGCAGGACTGCACTGCTGCTGTGCTGTGTAATACATGGTCCAACTTGCTTGTGCCACGTTATCTCCCAGTGAGCTCACATGATGCTGAACATTTGTTGAACTGATTCAACTGATAAGCCTTTTACTCCCCCCACCACCACTGGAGTTCTCTGTTTTCCACCAAATCCACCAGATGTTTGGGAGCCTGGATGATGACCTAAACTCTGCAAAAACATCATGATGACTGGGAGCTATAACATCTCAGCCAACCCGGGGTTAAGCCACAAACATCTTAGGCAGTTTCTCCTATTACCCCACCATGCTATTGGGCCTCTGGGATCCCTGCTCACATCTTGGACCGGTACTATGTTCTAAAAACCTATAGAAGTTAGCTGGGACTTAGGATGGTCTATAGCAATGTTTTTCAACCTTTTTTTTTTCTTTTTAATCTCACAGCACACTTGAACTTGTAGTTAAACTTCCATGGCACACTTCAATTATGTTGATTAAAAAAAAGAATGAAAAAAAAAACCCAATTACCGTGTTTGAATTTCTCTCAAAAATAATTTCATTAATGATCTTTAAAATTTTTCATGGCACACCTAAGATCCCCTCACAGCACATTGGTTGAAAATCACTGGTCTGTAGGGACAATGATGACAAACCCACAGGCATTTTTTTCTATTTTTCATTGTTTTTCAATTATGAAATGTTTCAGATATTGAAAGGCATACAAACATAGACATAGTGTTTTCATTGTAATAATAAGATACCACCTACCTGCCACTCAAAAAATAGAATACTTCTGCTACATAACACCTTACATACCCTTCCCCAATCTTATCTCTTCAAAGGCTTCTGCTAATCATTCTTTTGTCCTTTTTTATGTCTCTCTCTATATATATAATTATAAAACTCAGTCACATTTGACTTCTGAAATTACAAAAGGTACTCAAACACTGACATGTGTTCATCTTTTGTTACTGGTATATATATTGAGGACTATAATTTTTTTTTTTTT